CTATATATATACATATATATGTACACACACACACACACACACACACATTACATATATGTGTGTGTATATATATATATATATATATATATATATATATATATATATATATATATATATATATATATATATGTATATATATATATATATATATATATATATATATATGTATATATATATATATATATATATATATATATATATATATATATATATATATATATATATATATATATATAATGACTATTACCCCCACACAGACAAACAAACAAGAAACTCTTTTTTTTTCTTTCTCTTTTCCTCTGTTTTTCCTCGCCCCGATGTAACATTACGCAGCTTCCATTATATTTCCCTCCTCCTCTGTTTGCCGAGTTCTCAACGAATCGAGGGCGCGTTTGCTTCCAATCTGGTCCAGCCATGACGTCAAGAACTATCAACGATTTGCTACTTCTGTTGCATGGGCCTCTCGAGTTGGCCAGGCCGTTAGCTAATGTATGCGTGGTTGGTGGCCATAATACTAGCATTTATTGATGTACAGACTGGGATATGTTCGATTTGACTGTTACTCTTCCGTTTGAGGTTTTATATATATATATATATATATATATATATATATATATATATATATATATATATATATACATATATATATATATATATATATATATATATATATATATATATATATATACATATATATATATATATATATATATATATATATATATATATATATATATATATATATATATATATATATATATATGCATGCATTTTTAAAAATTTATACATATATATATACACATCTATATATATGTATATATATATATATATATATATATATATATATATATATATATATATATATATAGATGTATATATATATACATATGTATATATATATATATGTATATATATATATATATATATATATATATATATATATATATATATATATATATATGTATATATATATATATATATTTTTTTTTTTTTCTTTTTTGTACATATACATATATTCATATATGTCTGTGGTTCCCAACCTTTTTCTAGTCCTGCACCCCTAAAAATATAATTCTCTGACCTCGCACCGCCTACATTTTTTACTTTGTTCAGGGATAAAAGATGTGGAATAATACAAAATTTTATCAAAAGAAGATATTAATTTCACCTTTAATATTTGTAAAAAAAAAAGATCAGACTTATACAGACAGATCATATGATGAAATTAACAGATCATATGGACTATTTATACAGACAGATCATATGATGAAATGAACAGATTCTGATTTCCTTCATCCCATGTTAATCCTTAGCAGGTAAGCATCCAGGCAGCTTTTTTCTATAATCCACTGCAAAAGGAAACAAAAACAAAAAAAAAAAAAAATCAGACATCCAATCTTGGACTATTTATACAGACAGATCATATGATGAAATGAACAGATTCTGATTTCCTTCATCCCATGTTAATCCTTAGCAGGTAAGCATCCAGGCAGCTTTTTTCTATAATCCACTGCAAAAGGAAACAAAAACAAAAAAAAAAAAAAAATCAGACATCCAATCTTGGACTATTTATACAGACAGATCATATGATGAAATGAACAGATTCTGATTTCCTTCATCCCATGTTAATCCTTAGCAGGTAAGCATCCAGGCAGCTTTTTTCTATAATCCACTGCAAAAGGAAACAAAAACAAAAAAAAAAAAAAATCAGACATCCAATCTTGGACTATTTATACAGACAGATCATATGATGAAATGAACAGATTCTGATTTCCTTAATCCCATGTTAATCCTTAGCAGGTAAGCATCCAGGCAGCTTTTTTCTATAATCCACTGCAAAAGGAAACAAAAACAAAAAAAAAAAAAAAAAAAAAAAAAAAAAAAAAAAAAAAAAAAAATCAGACATCCAATCTTGGACTATTTATACAGACAGATCATATGATGAAATGAACAGATTCTGATTTCCTTAATCCCATGTTAATCCTTAGCAGGTGAGCATCCGGGCAGCGGGACATGAAAGAAGCGCTTTTTTCTATAATCCACTGCAAAAGGAAACAAAAACAAAAAAAAAAAAAAATCAGACATCCAATCTTGGACTATTTATACAGACAGATCATATGATGAAATGAACAGATTCTGATTTCCTTCATCCCATGTTAATCCTTAGCAGGTAAGCATCCAGGCAGCTTTTTTCTATAATCCACTGCAAAAGGAAACAAAAACAAAAAAAAAAAAAAATCAGACATCCAATCTTGGAATGAAAGATCATATGATGAAATGACAGATTTTCCTTCATCCCATGTTAATCCTTAGCAGGTAAGCATCCAGGCAGCTTTTTTCTATAATCCACTGCAAAAGGAAACAAAAACAAAAAAAAAAACAGGAGAGTAATAAATATCATATCCTTAAAAGTGCCGAAATTTCCTTAAACTAAGGAAATTTCTTAAAAGTTACAAGCCTGCTTCTCGCACCCCCTGGAATGATGTCTCTCACCCCGGGTTGGGAGCCCCTGATATATGTATATATGAACATATGTATATACGCACAATACATATATATATATATATATATATATATATATATATATATATATATATATATATATATATATATATATATACATATATATATGTATGTGTGTGTGTGCATGTGTGTGTGTGTGTTTGTCCAAATTTTCCATTTCCTTCTTAAAATTATAGCACCATTTCACTGATAATACAAAGGCCTTACCCACTTAAACAAACAGGTGTCTGTGTTCCCTCAGCCGTCCAATATATCACACACATTCCCCACGTACACACACACACACACACACACACACACACGAACACACACACACACATACACACACACACACACACACACACACACACACACACACACACACACACACACACACATATATATATATATATATATATATATATATAAAGTCCCTTTGAGGAATATCTTTTTTGTCTTCAGAGCACCGGATTTGGATTTATGCGTATTTCGAATCACTATTTATAATATGTAAATGAAGATTTCTTGTCCTGTAGAAAGCTTTGTGTCATTTCCCCATTTTTTTTCCTCGAGATTTTGCATAAAATGAGATTTGTTACTTTAAGAGATATGTATGTGACTATTATGAAGTTGAAAGTTTGAAGCAAGTGAATAGAATTATTATTAGGAACTATAAAATGACTTTAAAGAAGTTGATAGATACTATTCACTACGTTATTTTTATCATATTACTAAGCTTCATCTCACACAATGAGAGAGCCATTCTCAGCTAGTAAAGATGTAATCTCTTTGTGCGTTATTGTCCTTAAGTAATTTGATATTTGTTGTGTCTCTGTCCTTTCAGTTGTTCTAGCAAGTGCATTGACACATAATTTCTCCATCTCTCTCTCTCTCTCTCTCTCTCACTCTCTCTGTCGCTCTCTCGCTCTTTCTCTCTCTCTCTCTCTCTCAATCCCCTATACCTTTACCCTCTCTTTCCGAAACATACGTGACTGATGCATCAATCTCACGAGAATATATTCCCACATAAAAAAAAAAAAAAAAAAAAAACACATACTCAAAAAAAAAAAAAAAAAAGAAAAATCGTCCCACATGACCTAAACAACATTCTCACCACATGGTATGTTCCCATGCTTTGGCCCTCTAGCGTGTGGGAACTGATTAGCTAAGGACGAGAGGCATCGAGGGGGGGGGGGGGGGGGGGGGGGGGGGGGAGTGTGTGTGTTGGAGTTGGTGAGCTGGTCCTGTCCTGTGACTACTGGCTGTCAAGTGTGGTTCGTGGTGGCGCTCTTGGCGTTTTAAGATGAAGGGTGAGTCATTTTTATATTGTTAATTTATATGTTTGGTGTATTTTTATACTTTTTTTTTAGGGTGGGGGTGGGGGTGAGGGGAGGGAGTTGGGATGTTCTTTTTTTCTGGTTTGTGTTTTGTGCGTTTATTTGTCCGTCTGTTTTTTTTTTATTATTCCTCTTATTTCTTCTTTATTCGCTTTTTCTCTGGTTCATTTTTCTCTTTATCCCTCTTCCTCCCTCCCTCCGTCCATCCATCCGTCCAACCATCCTCCCATCTATCCATACCTCTACCTCCCTGTTTCTCTCTCTCTCTCTCTCTTCCTTCCGCCCGCCCTGCCTCCCTCACCTCCCTCCATTCGTCCATTCCTAACTCCCTCTCTCCTTCCATCCACCTATCCATCCATCCCTCTACATACTCTTCTTCCCCTCCCCCTCCTTCTCCTTTCTTACTTTTCCCCTTCTCTGCAGTCTTCTCTCTCTCCCTCCCTCCCTCTCTCTCTCTCTCTCTCTCTCTCTCTCTCTCTCTCTCTCTCTCTCTCTCTCTCTCTCTCTCTCTCTCTCTCTCTCTCCCTCCCTCCCTCCTTCCCTGCCTACCTGCCTCCCTCTCTACCTACTCTTTTTCCCCCTCCCCCTCCCTCTCCATTCCTACTTTTCCCCTTCTCTGCTGTATGATTCTCTCTCTCTCTCTCTCTTCCTCCATCCCTCCTTCCCTCCTTCCCTAGACTTACCCACCCACCTATCCATCCATCCATCCATCTCGACTTACCCTTCCCCCCCCTCTCCCTTCTCCTCCCCTTCCTTTCCTATTTTTCCGCTTCTCTGCATCAAAAGGCACCGACGAGGAAAAAGATCTGTTCTGTTTAACCTTTTTTGACACTTGTTTACATCATAGATTTTTTTTATTGCTGGGTCACCCTAAATTGGTTAATTTTCTACGACTGTGCTCGAATGAGTTTCAAGACGCGTGAATTTAGAGAAAGTAACGTATAATAAGTATGTTTGATGCATGTCGATTTTTTTTTCCCCATTCATACTGTCTGCCTTTATCACAGCACACAGATTATATATGTATAAAAAATATATATATAAAGTCTAATTATCTCAGGGTTTGGGTTGTTTAATGCGCTTTACTACTTAAGCCGTGTTATTCATTCATTATCAGCGCAAGCCAGAGCCAAGGACGGCCTTGTTCAGTATCGCCCTTGTTAAAAGTCATAAAACGCTCTCGAGTGTGAAGCAGCGAGTGAAAATAAGGAAAATTTTAAATAAATAGGGGGATAATTTGGGTGCATGAAAGAGAGAGAGGAAGAAAGGAGAGAGAGAGAGAGAGAGAGAGAGAGAGAGGAAAGCAGAGAAAAAAAGTAAAGAGAGAAAAGAGAAAAGAAAGCTACGGAGTAAAATATCATACGGTCGCCGTCTTGGCTTCTGCTCCAACTGCGAGAGACGAAGAAGCGGCAAGGCGGACCGTGATGCCACGTAAGTATTTCTTAACCCTATTTTTTCCCCCCATCGCTTTCCCAAACCCTCCTTCATATACTCCAAGAGAAAGAGAAACCAATGAACCGATCTCTTCAACAACAACGCGTAGAAATGTTCTAAAGAAAAAGGGAGACTGAGCTTAGTGATAAAAATATATCGTGTTAGTACGTGGCTCCTCCCTTGGACAGTTGCCAGATTCGCCATGCTCCTTGTTTACATCTGCATGATGACGTCACGTGCAGTTGCTCGGCGCCAGGACAATGAGTGTTGATAAATGGAGTGAAAAAAAATGTATACAAAAGCAAACAGATAAATAAATAGTGTAATGATGGTAATGGTAGTAATGAAATCAATTAGAATTAGGGATGTTTTTTTTTGGGAAAATAGAATTAAAAAGTGTTCAAAACGAATAATGGTGTTGTTATTATTAGCATTATTGTTACTATTACGGTTATTGTTATTATTATTATTATTGTTATTATTATTATTACTATATTGTCGTTCTTATTGCTGTTCCCATCATCATCATCATCATCATCATCATCATCACCATCACCATCATCATCACCATCATCATCATCATCATCATCATCATCATCATCACCATCATCATCATCATCATCATCATCATCATCATCATCATCACCATCATCATCATCATCATCATCATCATCACCATCATCATCATCACCATCATCATCATCATCACCATCATCATCATCATCATCACCATCATCATCATCATCATCATCACCATCATCATCATCATCATCA